GGGATGGGAATGTAGTATGTGTTTTTAATTATGAGGGCTATTATATCCCCTTTCCAATTGCCCTCTTGTTATCTATATCTGTCTGTCTTCTTGTCTCTGTCTCTCTGTCTCTCTGTTTCTCTGTTTCTCTCTCTCTCTCTCTCTCTCTCTCTCTCTCTCTCACACACACACACACACACACACACTCACACACACACACACACACACACACACACACACACACACACACACACACACACACAGAGCAGGGTGGCAGATGGCTTTCTGTCAGGTATGAGGAATCTGCCTTTCTTTCTTGAATCATGCCTTCAGGCCCTTTGCAAACTGCTTCTTTTGCCTATTTTTAAGACCAGTTTGAAAAAATGATGATAGTCAGGGGGTAGAATAAAGAAACCACCTGTGAATTTGATTGAAAAAAACACAACAAACAAACATGCATGAAAGCTTGCATCTCACTGAACAGAGGGCTGTTACTGGGAGAATGGATCCTTATTGTTGAGCCCAGTCCTGTTCAGTTTCTCTATCAGGGAGGTATCTCTTGAGAACCCAGTGCCATTGTTTCCATCATGTGTCTCCTTGACACTAACTTTCAGTCATATTAACCTTCCCTCCTGGTGAATTATTTATGTATGAAAGCTTCCACTATTTTTGGAGTATTGTTCTTGGCCATATTTATAAATTATGATAGTCTAGTCCTTTAAAGTTAAACAAGGCCACAAAAGGTAGGAAGTACTACCAATAACTGTGACATATTAACTTTTCATTTTGAACTAAGAATACTCCTTCTTAGGGGAAGGTTAGCTGATTTGCTAGGGGTTTCAATGATATTAAAATTTACTTTCCATGTGGTTAATGTATTTATAGGAAAATACTGCAGCTGAGTCTGGATACAGAACAAATCCATTATATATGGAAGGTGCAGGAAAATGACAACCTACAAATGGTCCTTGTGTGCCCTGCTGTGCCTTCAATGCTCTTGCCCTTCCTCTAAAGCCTCATTTATGGCCACTGTTGGTGCAGGCTGCTTCCCTGACAATGGAGAGTTGTGGTGGAAACTGTCCTCTCTACCTAAATCATGGGGCCTGATACAGTGCTACCATACAAACAGTGGCGCTGGTCACCTAAATCATGCCTGTGTTTGTGACCTCTTCTTTGTTCCTACAATCTGAACCCTTTGCCCCTGACCACATTTCTGTAGTATTTAGACAAGTGTCAGACCCTTGGAATGCTAACCAAATTGTGACTTTGATTCTTGGACTTTTCTGGGTAAGACTGAGTTTAAATCTAGAGTTGAAATTATATGGAATATTTTGTGATTATATTAGTCAAATGACTCCTGGTACAAAAAGAAGACCTAGTCCTCTGTCAGTGACATCTGTCTTTACAGTTCGGTCCGGTCTTCAGTTTTCTGTTCTTGAGGATGGTGATGAATTTGCACAAGGCTGGATCTCCTTTGTTTTTGTTGTTCTTGACATTGGGTGCACAGGGAGATCCTAAAGATGCTCTCTAGTGCTGTTTCCCGAGAATTCTTTTTAAAGCTTTATATTTCTGATTGTCAAAACAGAACATGTTCAGTAACCAAACCAAATCAATCCAAAATACAATTGTTTGGCAAGACATACTAGAATAATGATGGTGGGTGTTTAGTACTTGATGGATGAACAAGTGGTAAGAGAGTGCAATTCGGTATCCAGAAATACCACACCATGGTTGGTCCTAAGCCCCTTTGGGGGGAAAAGACAGTCTTTAATTACATCTGGAACTCATTATTTCTTTTTGGAGGCTCTTTCCAGATCAGCTCCCCCATCAGCCTCCCATTGAGCAACAGAAATTCCAGATGGTTCCCTCCATATGCCAGTGCTCACTCTCTCAAGTAGGATAGATTGGTCATTGACAGAATAGGATGGGAGAGCTGCATCCAACCAAGACAAGGTAGAAAACACTGGACCACAGTTAAGATAGAGGTGGTCCATCATTTATATAAGCTGTATAAATTTTTATGAGTGATTACTAGAAATGCTTTGAATAGTTTCACAGAAATGATGCTACTTGTAGAGAACATGGTATTTGGTTCAAATTCACACCTTGTCAGAAAGATGTCACTGTCCTTGTATCTGAGGACTTTTTTGTCTGGCAGATTATCTGCTCTGGAGCCAATATCAGCATGAATTATGCATTCCGTTGTTCATGTCAGCATCATCTCTACAATTATGATACAAGGAGAATCCCTTTAACAGAAGATCTTATATGAGATACATTTATTTAATTATAGCAGAATTGTGTTGTAATAGGTACATTAGTGAATTTTCCAAACAAAGGTAGTTAGAAATAAAAAAATCAGACGAGCATACATTTAGTTAAAGTATAGCATCACTTCAAGTCTACAGTATTATTTTATTAATAAATCTGTCATGGTAATTATATAGTATATCTGTATATAATTAGTTATATAATTAATATATTGGTAAGAAATATCTCTCACTCATCTTTCATTTCCAACTTCTTGAATGGTTTGGCATATTGCAAGAAAAAAGTTAGAGAGCTGAATCCAGGAAGCTTGAAAGTGAAAAATACAGCATCCAAAGAAATAACTGCAATACTTCTCTCTGCAGCCCATCCTTTCCCTCCAGCTACTGCTGCATTTTATCTTGTGTGCTACTTGGTATTATTCTGAGGACCTAGTGTGCATTAGATTTTGTTTCAGATCCTGATAAAATAAATACAAGGAGGGAAGAAGTCATGCACTAGTCCCCAGCAGTTAATCTGTGTGTGATCCTTAGGGAATTGACTGATACATTTGGAGTAGGTAGGGCAATTCAAAGGAAGAATATTCCTTCTAGATTGGTATGTAAATTCTATGCATTTGTCCTAATTTACCAAGTGCCTAGTACTGTATGTGTGTGTGTGTGTGTGTGTGTGTGTGTGTGTGTGTGTGCACACGCGTGCGCGCGCATGTTGCGCGCATGTTTCTGTGTACATTCTGTGAATTGAAGAAACATTTACCAACTATGTTTATTGTTTTGTGTAACCGTCCTGTAAGCGAACACTGATTATAGTTTGGGACACATGATGACCATTTTCACAAACTTTAATTTTTAAAGGTCTTACTCTAAATAACTTTTAATCTCAAATGTCAACCCATTAAATGTATAAAACTATACCATTCTCTGGATATGTCACTCTTTGGTTTGAATGTTTTGAGAAATACCAGAGATGAGGCTGAGAGCTATGTCTTTCTCTGTCTAGACAATGCTCAAATGTATTAATAATGTAATGGATTCTTGAATTGAAGGTATGTGTGGACTAAACTCATCAGAGCTAGAAACACTTGTTTTATGTCTTTATTTTCGATAGTATAATAACAGTTCTTTTCTTTTAGAAATGATTGGTTTCTTTCTCTAAAAATAAGATAGGAAGGACTGACTCGGTGATGATGACTATTTAATATTCAATAATGTGTTTATGGAACACAAATAACACATTTTAGTGTTCTGACTTGAGTGTGTACCTGGTGTCTTGGGAGTATGGAAGAAACAGGTTGTTTCTCCAGAGGCAGTAGTGGTGGAGATCTGTAAGGAGGAGGTAAGGAGTGCTTTATTGTCAGCTGTAACCCAAAACAGTGGTGCTGATGATGCCAGGCCATGGATGTACTTTGAGATCTACTACTCCATTTCAACCGAGAGAATTCAGGAGGGAGAGAAAGAACAAGCAGAGGTTACAGACTGGGCTAAAGTAGTTATGCTGGAAGTCTGCCTGTATGCTATTGGCTACAACTCAGTCACGTGGTTTTACTTATCTGTAAAGACAGCTCAAGCCTGGAGTCTAAAACTGTAAACCTAGGAGGAAGAACAAGCCAATTGGCTTGCAGTCTTATAGTCTATGCCACAGGAGGGCATGGCTAGTCTTGTAACTAAAAAAACAGGCAAGGGCTAGCAAGACAACTCATGACAAGTTAATTTGCTTGGTCGGGTCCTTAAGAACGGCAGTGTACATTGTTTTCTGGGATGTAAAATGAGATTATGATAACCAAAGAGCTTCTCTCAAAAAAGTCTGTACACCTGTCAGTGATTGTGATACTGGAAATTTAAGCAGAAACATTTATTTGACATCTTGAATTCATGTTGAAGTACTTCAGAGAGCAACACTTAATACTTTGACATACATGGAATACTGTTTTAAGTGAAAATGTTTTATTCATACATTACTTTATTGTTAGGATCAGGCAAAATCCATGATTATTTCTCTTAGAAAAAGCTTTTATGAGAGGATGAAGCGGGGAGAATAATTGTTTGAAGTCACCCGTGAGCTCTGTAAGCATGCCAAGCAAAGGGAGATCCATACACATAATATTTCTCTTGCACTTACTGAGCATGCACTGGGCACTTTGTATTACATTCTGGAAATTAGGAAGTTACATGTAGTTTACTATGTTGTGTTAGCACCTTAATCTATTAACTCATTTGATACTTACAAAAGGCCTATGAGGAAGCAAATACTATTTTTATTTCCATTTCACTGACAAGATAATTGAGGCATAGATGGATAAAATTGGTCTCCCATCTAGCAGGTAACAGAGATGGGATTTAGAACCAAACTGTTTATCTTTTCAAGGCCAAGGTCTTATTTATTGCTCAGTATACCCTGAATTTAGTCAAAAGTAAGAACACAAGTATAATACATAGGGAGTTCATATCTGTATGTACTAAATTTGTACTAAACTAGGGTTGTGGTGAGGATGTTGAGGACATCAGCAAGACTTTTTGACCATAACACTGTTGTGTTAAGCGGTGACAAAACTTACTAACCATGACTGACTTTCTTTCTAATCTGTTAATATGACTGCTTCATACAGATTATTTGTTCTGGTTGCTGCAGCTGGCCAGAGGCAGGTAACAACATGAGCAGCTCGTGAATTACCAGAAGCCTGACATCACCAGAAGAGAGAAGGTGGCTCTTGTTTTAGCTGCACGCATCTGAGCAGCCTATTTTGTCTTCGGCAGACAGGACTGTTCTGGTGGACACTGATCTCCCAGTGCTTAGACGCCTCTACGTGATGGGGACCTTGGAATTCCCTGCAGACAGAAGCAATGTTCTGAGTGTGGCATGCTTACTCATTGCAGGAGGGGAGCTGAAAGTAGGTGAGTAAATGCTGGGGGGTTGGATTGGGAATGTAATGATATAGTCAAGTTCTGGGAGGAAGTGTTGTGGGAAATGGAAGGTAGCATCAGGCTGCTGTCTGACATAGGCTGGAAGGGCTAAGGCTGGGGATATATTTCCAAGTACATCTTCAGATGCGGACAATGGTGACTTCTTATTGTTTTCTTACTGTTGCCAATCCCTTTTAGTTGTCCTAGAGGGACTCTAAGTTAGATAACCTGGGGCCAAACCCATCACACCTCACACTGGCTGTTTGACCTTTAGAAAATAAACTCCAGGGGACATCTATCTCCTCCCTGTAACATGCACAATTATGGAGCCTACCACATGGGGGCGAGATGTCTAAATAATTAGATGCAGCAACTCACATTGTCTCATAGTAGGTGTTTGATAAATATTACTTTATCAGTCAGGGTGTCCATATAATAATATGAACTGGATATTTTTGAGACTTAAATAAATTAACTATTTACACAAATACAGGTTTGAAATGGTGTGCTTCTTTGGGCTAGTAAAACCAGATAAACTTGCACCACTTTGCTGTAAAAGGTGGAGAGAATGAGTTGGTCCTGGAATCCAGACATGTAAGTGTGGGGACAGTTGTCAGACATATGCATGGCTGGGATTCAGCATGCACATGAGTGTGTCTTATGGGAACCAATAGCCTGTCTGTCCTCAGCAGGGTTGGAAGTCAGGGAGGCCTCACCAATTCCATGTGGATAGGTCAGCTGCCACCCAGGGCATTGCACAGATAAGAGATGGCAGCTTCAGAACATAGGCACCAACAGAAGCCACTCGATGCAGTTAGCTTCCAGTTATCAGAACAGACATGATGCTCCTACCAATAGTGCCAATAAGTCAACTTACCTTTCAGCCATCCCATGCTGTTAGTCTTGGCAAGATCTTGTCAGCTGTGATACCTGCTCATTCTGTATGTGCTGCCTCCATTAACTGTTTTCCCAGTGCACATGTGTATAAGGCTGCTTTTATTTTACTTGGGTATTGGGGCAGCTAAGTATGCTTTTTCACTTCTTCATTAGATTATTTTCACCCATCTCTTTCCACTGGGAAATAACTGTATAATCTGGTATTTTTGTTTCTGATTAGGACTATTGTCCCACCTGTTTAGCATTGTATAAAATTCTCACATAATCACTGATGGAAATATTTAATAAATCACTTTTGTGATAGTAAAAAACTGTTGGCAGCCACCACTTCTAACTGGAGCTGCTCTTTCTAGGCTTTTGAGGTCACTTATAACATATAACTTGTGGACTGAAAATCTGTACCTTTGAAAGAAAGTGACACTGTGTTACTCGCCAGTTTTGCTTTAGATGTTTCAGATATTTTTAAAATTATGTCTATTCCTAACTTGTTTACCCATCACTAGATAATGTTGTATCTTTTTTCTCTCTGTTTCATCCATGTGTTTCAGGCCCAAAGGTTGCTTATTGGAACCCATCTGCCCAATCCTATGTGTGTTATGCCTGAAGGAAGACTTTCAACCCATCTGTCCACACCTACAGAAATCCCAACATGAGAGAGATAATATGGCTAGTTAGTAAACAAACTTAATAGATGTGGACATTGGCACAGCATACTGCCAGAGCATATCTGCTCTGTGATGCCATTTGATCCAAATCCTAACAGTGTAGAATTCTAGTTCTTGGTGGTTAAGATTTTGACACAATGGATGCTGGCAAAAGATATCATCTGACTTTCAGAATCAAAGAATGGTAGAATTCTTTGGAAATAAATTAAAGATGCAATGCCAGAGTCAGTTACATTCTTTGTTCAGTGCTTGTCTTACTAGTGCAACAGAACAAGTACACTTTATCTGCATAAAGTATAGCAGATGAAGAAAATAGGAAAGAAAATTGATCATCATGCTCTGGCTATTATTATAGTGGTTGATAAACACACCCTGAGCAAAAAAGTTTTACCCTGCCCTTGTAAAAAAGAAAAAAATAGAAAAAATGAAAACAAAAAACACCCCAGTGTATATTTATTTAAAAATAGTTTTAATTATGTATATAAGTGTGTGTCTCTGTAGGTATTTGCTTGTGAGTTTCAGAAGAGAGGACCTGAGACCAACCCCCAGCTGCCTGAGCTCGAGTTTACAGGCAGTAGTGAGCCAACTGATATGAATGTTGGAAACCTAACTTAGGTCCTCTGTAAGAGCACTTTGCATTCTTAACTGAGGAGCCATTTGTCAGGCCAGCATATATTTCTTAAGAGATGGTAAATTTTAATAAATTTGACATTCTTTATTCTTTAACAACTTAACTTTTGCCTTTAACTTTTCTTTTATAAGCTCATTATATTTTAATCAGAGAGAGAGAGAGAGAGAGAGAGAGAGAGAGAGAGAGAGAGAGAGAGAATGGTTTTGTGTATACTACAGTGCACTTGTGGAGGTCCATGAACCACTTGTAGAAATTGATTCTCTCCTTCCACCATATGGGTTCTGGGAATCAAACTCAGAAAATAATCAGGCTTGGTGGTAGGTCCCACTTCAACATGTTCCTAAGTGTCATTGAACATAACACATCCTGAAAGTTAGCAGTTATCCACCTTGAGTAATAGATACAATTACTTTCATGAATAATACTCCTGAATGAAGAAAATAAGTAAAATAAAGAAGGGAATAATTCCTCAGTTGTGATGATTTTCCAATTTCATGTATACATTTCTCATTTCTCACTTCCTCTCTTTCCCCTTTTTCTCTTTCATATTTTTTCTTTTATTGAATAATTAGTTCAGTGCCAGGTATTGCTTTGGGGTTGATTATTTTTCAACGATTGGGACAAGGAGGATCCTGGTGTTTATTGCTTTGTTTGGGAAAACGAATAATGAGTTTGTAAGATGAGCAGGAATGATATGTTTAGATGACAACATGTGTTCTAAAGGAAACTAAGGTGGGAAATAATTTGAAGAGTGGTGTAGGTTGGCTGTTGGCCATCAGAGGTTAGGTGATGAGTAAAGAACATTATAATGAATCATGTAACCTCAGACCAAAGACAACAGTGGTTCTCAACCGTTACAACACTGAACCCTTCAATACAGTTCCTGTTGGTGCAGTGACCCTTCACCACAAAAATTATTTTTGTTGGTGCTTCATAACTGTAATTTTGCTACTGTTATGTGAAGTGTAACATAATATCTGATATGTGACTCCCAAAGGGGTCGTGACTCACAGGTTGAAAACTGCTTACCTAGATTTACAAAGATGGGGCAAGACAATCCCAGCCTTGATGAAAACCTCATGCAAAAGGCTCCAGACAGGGAAGTGTACTGCAGGGTGGGAGGTGGAAGGGCATCTCCTGGACTAGAGAACAGTGTAAATTAAGTTTTTAATTCTACAACTTCTAGAAAATTCTCCAAAAATAACTGTGTTGTTGGGAGTCTCTGTAACTGTATGAATCTTCCCTTCATAGTTTTCATGAGGAAACTGAGGTAGGCAGATATTACTTATGTGTTTTACAATCTTGTATCTGGTAAATAAAGCCATGCTCAGTAGCTGTTGCAATTATTTTTAAACATTCCCTTCCTAGCTGTTAGCAGTTCTGTCTCATTAGGAAACCTGTCCTGTTTCTACTAGTAGATTATATTCAGTATCTTATTTCCTATTCTACACATCCGTCTTGTCCTTACTACATTCACTTGATTAACATAACGTATTAGTTTTTAAGTATCCTCTTCATTAAATGGTAGACTTCTGTGCATGTTGTAAAACTTCTTAGCTTCAGGTAGTGTGTGTGATTGGTGTATAGATGAATGCATGGGTATACCTAGGTCTATCCTTTATCTCAGTGCGTTTTCCCCCTTAGAACACAGCATGCTTAAATGTCTATATCTATGAGGAAGGGATTACAATCTTAATGTTCACATGACCACAATACATTTATCTCCTATAAGAAACTGAACAAGTATGAAAACACGGTAAAAAGTTAGTGATCCAAGTTCAGCTTCTACAAGCTGTCTTGGATCTATTGAAATAAAATAAGCATTGGTTTGTTGATTTGTTAATTTGTGCTTGTTTGCTCAGGAGCACCTGCCTGAACCCATCTTTTTTATTTATGTATTCTCTTAAATGAGAGATTTCTCTTATTCATTTACATGTGTTCCTTTTATCATAGTTATCACTGCTGTCAGCATGTTATTGACACAAATGTTCAGTTCATTAGAAATGTTATGCTTTTAAAACTGCATGTGAATATTTTTGTAACAATTTGTAGGAAGACTTTAGAAATAGCATATCTATGCAAACTACTATCAAAATAATATATAACAGTATATAAGTATTTTATTATTATATAAGTAATATGGAATACTGGCATTTGTTTGGATAGAAAATTTATATAAATGTATCTACTTTGTTTCATCCAAATAAATTTAGTAATGAATATTCTGATAACACTTAAAAACTAAAAGAATTCCTAAATCAGCAAGGCATACTACACACATTGGTGAATTAGGGACACAGTAATTCGTCATTTCTATGCCTTGTCACAGACAAGTCATGTGATAAACTGCCCAGTTGCTCAATAATTACACTAAGAACTTAGACTATTATCCTAAAACTTGTCATACTTTGTTTTTCAGGGCCAGTGATGGGTATTTGTCAGTGCCATCTCACTGTTGTAGCTGGAAGCCTAAGTTTATCATTGGCACTGGCTCAATTGTCAGAAACAAAGTCCTAGCTGTATGGTAGCTTCCTTCATTGCTTCTATGATTGGAGCTTTCTCAATCCCAAAGAAGAAAATCTATACAGTTTATTGCCCCCTAGACTGGCAGTTCTGCAAGATTCATTGGATTATTAAGTAATAAGAAGCAAATAAGCCCAAGAAAACTATAGATTACCTCCTCCAGCCTAAAGCCATGATACCACTGAGCAAATAGAAAACCCTGTGTGATGTCTGTTAAAAATAATATATCAGGGGATAGAGAGTTGGCTCAATGGTTAAGAGCACTTGTTGCTCTTGCAGAGGACATGGATTCAATTCCCAGCACCTATGTGGTTGCTCATAACCATCTTTAATTCTAGTTCCACAAGATCCGACACCCTCTTCGGACCTTGGTGGGCACCAGACATGCAGCTCATGCACTTATCTGCATTAAGGCAAAACACTTATTCACATAAAATGAGATAATAATTAAAAAGAAATATATCTCCTTTAGATAAACACTAATGTCTTTTTGTGGGGGGAGGGGGTTTGAGACAGGGTTTGTGTGTGTAACGGCCCTGGATGTCCTGGCACTCACTTTGTAGACCAGGCTGGCCTCGAACTCACAGAGATCTGCTTGCCTCCGCCTCCCTAGTGCTGGGATTAAAGGTGTGCACCACCACTGCTCAGACTAGTGTCTTCATTCAAGCAAATGCGTGTTTAATGCCTAAATGTGCCACATGGATTTCCATAGGGACATAGTTTATGAGAGTTTATGTGGACTACTCACTAGTCAATCATGTTTCATACTGACAGATATTTAATCAAGGTAATGGTTGGCTGATACAATTTTAAAGTAATGCTGAAGACACACACTTTCTAAGTGTTACATTTGAAGCTTTGTGTTGTGTAAGTATAGGAAGCACAGAATTCCATTTTTGTGCTTGGAGAGTTCTAATAAGGCCAAAAGACTGACAGTAAATAATATGAGTTTCAAGATGAGATTTGACATGGGAAGATAATACTTCTGGAGGAATATAAATTTTCACAAACATTACCTTATTTTTAAATTTTGCTTATGCATTGTTAGCCAAAACCCTAATAAACCTGAAAATTCTGAGCAAATACCTTTAATATTGAAATATTTCAAAATCAGAATTTTTAATTTGTGCTTTTAGCTCATGAATCTCCTTAATATAAACTTAAGAATCGTTTTTGTTTAATCATTAATGTGAATATCTAATTAGTTGCACTTGATTTAATATAAGGTAAATTGCACATTAAATAAATAAATTCAAATCAATTCAGATGTGGTGTATACCTGCACTCAGCCAGTAGAGGTGGGAAGATTTGTGGTTCAAGGCTATCCTCAGCTACACAGTGACTGTGAGGCCTGGCTGGACTTCTTACTTATAAATACCATGCTGAAGAACTTTGAGGATTTATTAATTTCTGTCCATATTTGAGTGCTACATATTTAGTTCAAATTTCTTAATATTTAACAAGAGGCCTGGCCATTTTCATATACTCCAATTCAAGAGAGCAGTAGGTTCTTAGGAATCAGTTAGAGTGGAGGGTGTTGTGGATGGAAAATTAAAGCTTGGGAAAAAATGAAAAACACTGTGAACAGAAAGATCTAGAAGCTTAGGAAATTATCCTGAATGCATTTGTTGACTACAAGGTGTGGGATTCAGGCTGATAGAGTAAGCTTACGTGTAAACTATGCTTATACCTGATTCTATCACAGAGATTTAGTTACTAAAGTAACATTTCCCTTTTTCTTATGTTTTGAAATTCATGGAATCCATTTGTACCATATCCGCCAAATCAATAATGGTTATCTTTGGTATACCAGAACTTAACTTTCTTCCATCTCCTCAGGTGATTTTAACATCTGGAACCAATTCTCCACCCCCCCACTCTCCATTGCCACCATCATGCTAAACACTACTAACTATGCGTCACTTCCCTCAGTCTTCCACATGTCTTAGAATGGCATTTGCTAAATCTAAGCCCAATGCTACTAAATAATCGCTATGCCATTCTGACTAGTTACCTAAGGTCCTCTTGCCTCAGTTTCCACATGGGCATCTCCACAGTCTTCGCGGAGGGCCTGTGAGACTGCAATGAAATCATGTATGTGAAAGCTCGTTGGCAATTATCTCCTAACATGTAAACTTCAGGTTTCAATGCAGCCTCACAAAGGTAAACCAGGACACTGGCGCTTCATCTGGGGCACCTTGTCTCAGAGCTCGCCCCTCTTATTTACTGACGTGTATGTTGGGAAGTGCATATTGTCTCTCTGAGATTGAGAACATGACGAGGACAGCAGCCCTGAAAAGTCTTCGCTTTCACCAGCTTTTGCAAATCCATTAATGTTGGAATATCACACATTGCCTTCTCTTGCCCCTGCCTGGTTGCTGAGGAGTTCTTGCCTCCATCTTTTCCTCTCCTGTGTTAACAAAACGATTCCAAATCCTGGTCGCTTCAGACTCTGAAAGATCACGGCAGGCTGACTAATTTTGCCCAGATTTTCTGTGAAGGCTCCACATGTGCTGTAGCTTTGGGTTGCATAATTGATTTAATCTCTGATTTTAGAGAAATGTGCAACTCTTTTTGTGGGACTCTGCATACATTTCTCTAGGGCAAAAAGTGTCCTACTTTTCCTCTCTGGTATCTGTTTAGTGCTAGGCCATTTTTTTCCCTATAAGACTTTACCCTCCATGAAATAAATGAAATCACAGTTGGAAAACAGCTTACTGGACAGACTTAGAGCAGCAAGATAAGAGCCACATCAGGCACATTTGCTTAAGAGTCCCCGGTCCTTTGCCTCCTTCCTTCTTGCTTTTTGTATTTTGGGGCTAAGAGGATACCTTCATTTCTCAGCTAAGGCACTGTGACATCCATACAGCACTGGAGCTTGCTTTAGTGTTGTAGCAGAAACACCTAAGCCATGAGTTCCAGTGCTTGCTCTTGACTTGTGTGTTGTACAAATTGTGTTGTCTCTCTGGATCTGACTGCCAACAATTCTAACAATAATGGTTATAGCTGATGATCTGAAAAGCAAAACCCAAACTTACACTAGGTGTATAGGAAGTCTTAACAGGGGTGTGGGTGTGAGAATGTGGAGTGGTTTTATGCTGCCTGAGAGAAGAGTAACCAAAATGACAAGTGAGTGATTTTATCTTTACCAATTAACCCCATACTATATGTGGCTGTCCCATTTTTTTTTTCTGTTTTCAGGAAACTGGTAAACTTGAAAGTCTCATTTGATATGAGATGATTTTGGTGAGCCTGGTTCCATAGGATATATAGTTGAGGACTTTTATACTGGTTATTTTTTCAACAATGGATTCTGTAAAGATAGCATAGCTTTCCTAGGTCTGTATTCATTAATATCATGTTAGCAAGTCTCTGAACATTCATCAAACTGTCAAGAACATGATTGTTCCCTCAAGAGACTTAGGATCAATTTCCAACTGCTGAGTGTCATAGCTGTATGCTTTCTGTATCCCAATGATGCTAGGAGAACTTATGGAAAACAATTTATTGTTGGTTTAATAAACCACCGTTGTTTGAAATATGCTACATACTGTTAGCTGGATAGATTTAGATTCGTACCTGAAGCTTCAGACCTCTTTCTATGTGGATATTTACATCGAAACAAGAATCAGTCTTCTTAGTTTTGTAGTGAACATTTAATGCTAAAACCACATGAAGGAAATGGTCTTCACACAACCCTGGTTACTGTATTAGCCAGGATTTGCTGTAATAATGGTTTTTAATGCATAACTTCCATATCTCAGTAGTTTTTAAAATGAGTATTCATATTAGACTGGGTTGAATATGGCTCCAGCCTGCGTGCTGTTCTCCAGGTTTCTCTGAATGTCTCTTCATTCAGGCACCCAAGGATATGAGGAATTAGATGACAGTAAAAATATGTGGGGAATACTAGGCAAGTATTTCCACTACCAGATGACAACTGCCATTACTTCCGTTTCTATCCAAACTTCACTAACCTAGAGCACTTCACAAAATAAGCTTGGATAATAGGAGCCAGTAGAGTGGACTCCGAGTAGCAGATGACTGATGAATGGTTACCCCACCTTCTTCAGAGAGCCTTGTCAGCCCTGTACTTTCTGCTGTCATTTCATTTATGTGTCCATTACCTCTTCCCCACATAGTCAATATCACAGCATTTACTCTGAATTCTTTGTTTGCATTTCTATTTTTTATTTGAATTACAAACAAGATTGAATTACATGACAATCCCAGTTCCCTTCTCCCTCCCTTCCTCCTCTACCACCCCTGCAACTAAAACCCTCCCTATCGCATATACTTTCTTCTACTTTCTTTGCATTTCTAATGATTTTGGATGAATTACTCTGCTTTCTTAACAGGTTCTTTAAAAAATCCCTTAGAAAAAGAACAAAGATTCCTGGTTCTCCTTCGAGCTTCAGAAGAAATCTTTTGTGACCATTTTGATGGGATTCATGTTGATCCAGGAACAATTGGTAAAAGTTAAATATAATGTATGTTAATAATAAAATGTGTGAAGCCGGGCGTTGGTGGCGCATGCCTTTAATCCCAGCACTCGAGAGGCAGAGGCAGGCGGATCTCTGTGAGTTCGAGGCCAGCCTGGTCTCCAGAGTGAGTGCCAGGATAGGCTCCAAAGCTACACAGTGAAACCCTGTCTTGAAAAACCAAAATAAATAAATAAATAAATAAATAAAATAAAATGTGTGTCTCTGCAGGTTTGTGTGTGTGAGAGAGACAAGACAGACAGAGACAGAGAGTCAAAGGAGTTCCATTTCTTGGACAGCTGTTAAATTCTAGTTTATATTTACTCTTTGACTTACTCTTTGTTCAATGTCCATTTACAGATATCAATGACTATGACTCATAAGTGATAAACTATACAGATATGATGATCACAAGAACATTCACTGTTAACAGTGATATTGCCATAGTATTGTAGTAACAAATCCTAACCAGGTATACAAACACGAAGACTGGGAACACAAAGCCCAGGACAGCTTGTACTGACACATGAAAGTTCAAAATCAATGAGTGTTACAGCAAAAGAGTACTTCCCATTGGCACTGTGTAATCATCATTTACTTTTTGAAAGGGAATCCTCTCGGCACAAAGTAGTTTCCCTTCCTTTGACAAAATCCATTCCTTTCAAAACTAGATCCCCCTTTACTTATTTGTTTCTCTTCACTATAGGAGGAGAGATGAAATGAGCCATTTACTACATTTTTTGAGTATTATGTTTTTATATAGTCTTGATGTGTGTGTTACTGTTATGAGCCAGAGGGGGGAAACCTGTGTTGGATGTTTCAAACTAAAGTGCATATGTGTTTGTGTGTGTGTGTGTGTGTGTGTGTGTGTACATATATGAGGTTTTCCGAACATTATGGGATAAATATTGATAGCATGAGGATTGTTAACTTACCTCCAAAATGCTTAATCATTTCTGTATTATATGTTGAAATGCTTTATAATTTCAATTTTTCCTTATGAATTCTGTTTATTTGATTATCACCATGACATGGATTAAAAAAATTTTAACTTTTCTCAGTTGTTCAAGAAGAAGAACTGTATATACTAGGCACATTTGATTTGATCCATTTGTTCTGTGGAGTAATCACATCGGTTGAAACTTTCAGATAGGAAGTCCACACTACTATGTGTGCTGATCCTGGACCCAGATATATGATTCAACTAATGTCTTTAAAATTTCTACTGATAGCAGTTGAAATAAAGAATACCCAGTTTACAGCTTACTTAGCTTCTATGATATCATAAGCAAATGGCTTAATCATCTTAAGTAGTTTATTACCTTCTTGAAACAACTAAGAAATGTTATCACTTTACAGTTATCATCTTTGATGATAGAAATAAGCAAGAAATCTGCTTTTCTAGTTAATGGAATTTTCTGGAGAATTCAGATTTTAAAGATGTGAATTGAAATCTTTTTTAAAAATAAACATTGCTGTTGGAAATTTCTCTAAATCACCCTAGAATTCTGTCTGCCTAGGTACTTAGCCTATGATGAATAAAAGTTGATTTTAGTTTTGTGGTTTGATATTTTGTGACATGTTTTCATGAAACTATATAATGAGGAATTGATTCTAGGACATGTTCTGCAAGTGAGATTCACTCTGTATGTACTATCCTTATCTTATTTTATCTTTTAACACATCTTTATGAATTAGAGTATAGGAGGAATTACAAACATTGACATAAATACTTAAGGTCTCAGTAATTATGATTTTATTGTTTTGGTTCACACTGGATGGAAATTCAAGGCTGATATCTCAATGGTTTTTACTTCTTTCATTTTTGTATTTTTTATTAAATATTATGAATATTTAGGTTATTAAATTAGTGGTTTACAACAAAATGTTTCCATTCATATATGGATATTCACATAATCCATTTCAGTGCAGGGTGAAAACATTAAAACTCCAAGTCAAATGTTCATAAATTATTCATCTATTTATATAAGTGAAATAAATATATGTATTTATATGGAGATACATCATTATTTTTTTGTTCTGCTACGGGAATGCATGGTCACATTTTTTGTAACACTAGACTATGAGAAATTATACTGAATATGGTTGAAAATGTCAATGATGTACATTTGAGGAAATCCTCAAAAGCCTGAAAGGATACATGCAGGCTGACTTTACCCAGTTAAGATGATTAATTTGTAAGTCCAAAATAAAACAGAATATATATCTAGTTGGGTTTCCCCTGATTATCTATAGTATGACAAAATATTAAGTCTGAGTCCTGAAAACAAAGCTAATAGTACTGAGGTCCAATCTTCAGAAAATGGAATGAGCCTTGCCACTTGGACAATCTAGGGTATATCATAAAATATCAAAACTGGTTGACTTCTATCAGATCAAAAAAGTCTGGTCACCTTGATGGCAGAAGGACAAATCTCTTTATGTTGAACTGGTTCTCTGTTAGATGGAGTTTCTCCACCTTTAGATTGCCATTATCCTGTACTGTTAATTTCTCTGTAGGTCTTTGGGTTATATTTGATCTCTTATAATAGAAATATTTTATTTTAAAGATAAGATGGACATGATCAGATATGGATTATATGTTACGTATTTTGTGTATAAACCTTTGACTCATATTTCACTTATCTGTCCTTAATTAAGATGGAAGTATTGTCTTAGTGATTCTTAGTGATTCTCTAATTTTTCAGGAGTTTATGGGAAACTTCACCTTCACAGTGCGTATCCTAAGAAATCCTGGGTACACCTTGGAGCTGATTTTGCACCAGGAAATGAGAGGTAAGAAAAGTATCAGAGGACTTCAATTGTTGTTGTTTTTTTGTTTGTTTCTCTGTGATGTTTTATTGTGATATGAAACCCTAAGCAACATCATTCAAGGCAGAGGGACTAGAAAATAATGTAACATATTAAAGGACAAAATGTACAAAACATAGGAGAAGGAAACTGTATACTGGGGGTGGCTTTAGATAATGTATGCTTTTGTCAACCATGTATAGAACTATGGGTTCTAGGCAATAAGACAAGGAGTATGAATTGAAAACGCAATAGCGAGGATTGACAAGGCATCATAGAGACACTGACAGAAATAAGGGTGAGATGAAGCTTATGAATAAGAAGAATGCAGCTATCACAGCTTTGAACTGAACAGATCATATGAAGAACAAACTGACAGAGATCGACCAGGACTCGGAAGACAAGATAAATAGATGAAAATAACAGAAGATGTGATACTAGAGGGAAAGACCAGAAAGTGGAAAGCTCCTATAGGAAGCTGTTCTTAGTAATAAGAAGCCAGGTCATCCACAGTTAAAACAGTTAACAGCAACACTAACTGGAACACACATGACAAAACTCACAAAAGTTATATTTAATATGGATAAATTGATATTAAGGATAATGATTGTAACATTATATGATCCTGATGGCTCAGGAAGAAATTTGAGTTAATACAGAAAAACAGGGGGCCTGAAACAAGGGTCCTTGTTAGAAAGTAAAATCCAAAGTATAATGAGAGAATTACCAATACGGAGTCAGGTAAAGATATAAGGGTATTTATTAGGGAGATGCCTTACTTACAGAGCAACCTAGCCAGCCGGCAGGGCACCGAGTAAGTACAGCAAGCTGATGATGAAAGGAAGAAGGGGCTTCCATGTGTGCACCCCTCACTCTTAAACCTTCCCAACCTAACCTCATAGGCATGGTCAGGCACACCTGTAGCCAGTCTTTAGGAGACGTGGTTACGGTGTCTCCCTACAAAAGTACATGGAGTTGTGATGTCTCATTAAACTCCCTGTTTGTTGTCCTTCCCCAATTAGTACCAGTGTAAGAGTGCTTCAGTAGCCTATTAGTGGTGGTGCATGCCTTTAATTCCAGCAGTTGTGAGGCAGAAGTAGGCAGATATCTGTTAGTTTGAGACCAGATGGGTCTACAAAGTGAGTTCCAGGACATCCAATACTCTACAGAGAAACCCTGTTTTGAAAAACCAACCAACCAAACAAAAAATAATAAGAAACCCAAATCAAATATATTTGAATATATGTATTAATTCTATATGATCATTTCTATTATATATTATCTTTTAAATATCTCAACAGAAATATATGAATGACGTTATTATCAACATTTTGTTTAACTAGAGTCACAAAAGTTGGTATTCATTTATAAAGCTAGAAGTTCTATGACTATTTCCTGGGCTGTCTAATCCTATCTATTATGCTCTAAAAATTTGAAATATTAAAAATAGTATTTACTAGAATCAGTCTCACAGAGGATTGTTTTAATGAAATTGTATGAGAAGAGTGTAATTATCATAGCATAGTGGTTTTATGTATTGTATAGCTGTTTTCTCCAAATTGAAACATCCCCTCCTGGAGGGAGGAGGAAGGTTCATAAGTTTCAGGAAGTTTCCCAGGAATGGAAGCTCACAACTGTCATTCTGGTCAGCAGCCAGTGAGGTGGGATCATCTTGAATTCTAGGCCAGCCAGGATTATGTAGTGAGTTCTAGGCAGAGCAAGAAAGTGTCTTAATCCATTCAGAAAGCTCACAGATCTGCTATTCCTGAGACTTGCAACAGTCACACAGCCATTTACAGGGTTACTTAAGAGGAATTGGTGGCTGGGAGAGAAGAGGGCCTTAGCTGAAATTACCTGGCTTCCCCAAGAAACTCTGGTAAACTAAGAGTGCTACCCTTAGCTGACACCCCATGCAGGGATGAACTGAGAGTGCTGCCCTTAGCTGTCACCCCATGCTGGGAAGGCTTTTCAGTGATAAATCCCACTTTGTGTCACCCCTGCTGCTGTCCTTGGTTTCTTACCTAAGTTCCTGTAAGTGACCACAATAATGTCCTTGCGTTATCAAGCTAGATATGGGTGGACTCTTCTTTGGTATATCATTGTCTGGGGTGCATAGACACTTGTTTATATATTTCTAGGAAAGCATACAATATGTGGTTTCCTTTCTTTTCAAATTTATTAAGATAACTTGGCTCATAAAATTTGTTTGTACATGCTTGATTTATTCTGTAAGTACTATTAGTGGGAAACCCTCCCTGGAAATGGTTCTCATTTATTTATTCAACTTATTTTTATTTCTTGCTTGCACAGCCAAAGTAGGCACAGTGAGATGTTTTGAGGAAAACTTACATTGTCTTTGCTCTATGTCATTTTTAAATTTACCTCGATTCTACTGCTTTCTCTACTTTGTTACAGTTGAATCTTTTGTGGAAATGGATGAACAAAATGGACCTTTTGTATTTAGAATGAATTCCAATAAACTATACAAAGACAAAAGAGTTTACCCTTACACCAGTATTCTGGCCATGCACATGCACTGCCTTTGTATACTTGGGCAGCCGCATGCATTTGTTCTCTGAAAATATGTGATTGCTCTCTCTGCCAGTGAATCTTAAGGTATTTATATTTCATTCTACCCATCCATAGAGCTTTAAACAGGCAAGCACTAGGTCTGATCCATGCTTTGATCTGGCTTATGCTGTATAAGAAAATGATTGCTGTTGCCAGAGATGGAAGCCAGAGAGGATGGAAAAAAACCCTTAAGACACGATGATTACTTGGAAGTTTTTCAGGAGATACCTGATAGTGGCTTAGCTTAGGTGCAGAGAAAGAGGGGAGAGAGAGAGAGAGAGAGAGAGAGAGAGAGAGAGAGAGAGAGAGAGAGAGACAGAGAGACAGAGAGACACACAGAGATAGAGACAGAGAGAGAGGTGGTTAAATATGTGTTGGAGACAGAAGCAACACTATGCTGATGGACTTAATAGCTTAGACAGGGGAAGGAGTCGAAGAGCACACGAACCCTTGTCTCTCAGCAACTCTGTGGGAAAGGTATCACTGAGAACTGGAAAGCAGAGAAGAGCAGGTTTATGGAGAACATTTTGCATTTTTGTTTGTTTTTCTGGTTAATAATTTCTTGTCCTCCTTTTTAAGGAAAAAGAAAACTATATAAGGCTTTGTCAACCCTGTCTTATTCTCCTGCTTTTCAAATGCTAAGTTGGCATTAGTTGACAAGTAAAACCATGAATGTTTAACATGTTTGGAATTCTCTTTTGAAACCTGTATGTCATGGAATGGCTAAACAGAGAAAATTAGCATATGCATTACTTTACATGCTTGCTTATTTATTTTGTGTTGAGCAAGAAGTGGAGTCTGTGTTCTCAGCAGTTTTCAACTAAGATGTTATCTACAATCAGCATGACCTACCCTGTCTACTAAACCTCTTCTCCTCTGAGAGCAACACTTTAGATTTAGTACATAAATGAGATCAGACGGTGTGCTTCCACTTATTTCACTTAATGTTCATCTATACTGTTCCAATGACAGAGCTTCCTTCCATTGGAAGGATGGGTCATACTCCATTGTGCATATGTGCCCATTTCTTTTCTCTTTTATTAGTGGACAAACACTTGAAAGTGCAGAGGCTTCACCTCCTGTGAAGGTGCAAATGTCCTTAAACACACTGATTTCACTTTCTTTTGCTATGGACTCCATGATGGGATTTCTATGACATTTAATCTTTTAATTTTTAAGGTTCCTTCACTGTTTTTCATATATATACATATATATTCATAAAATCATATATAACATCACATATTTATATGTAGGTATGTGAATGTATTTATATGTGTGTGTATCAGTGCAAATACCTATTTATGTTTGAGCATTGGGGCCAAAGGATGATGTTAGAGGTCCTCCTCTGTCACTCTCCATCTATTTCTTTGAAGCAGTGTCCCTCTATGTACCCGAGGCTCTAAAAGCCACAAAGTTCCAGCAATACTCCTATTTAAACCTCCCTTGAAGCTGGAGGTCACAGGTCTGCACAAGACCCCTTGCTTAGCACCAGGAATCTTGACTCTGTTCTTTTTGGCAGAGCCATATATCTAACCCCTCCATCCTATTTTTTTCATAACAGCTACGCTAATTTAAATTTCTACTGGCAGTGCACAATGGCTCCCTCTTCCTTCTTCTCCTTGCATCACTTATCTTGCATCTTTTTTTTAAATAACAGCTGTTTTCACAGGCTTGAATTGCTTCGAGTGGTTTATAAATACAGTCTGTTATCTACAAAGAAATTACTCACTGTTGAACAAATAACCATTTATTACCTTGCCCTGTCCCCAGGACCTATACCTTTAATTTGAACACCATCATTGATAATATCTGCTCTGTTGGTTCCTGTATCATATTAGCGATGTGCTTTTGAGATATCATGTTCCTGTCTTCTAAGTACTGCACACAAGGTTTTCTGTATCAACTTTAGTACTTCAAACTTAGACAATCAAATAAGGGTATTAGGCATTGTATATCATTATACACCACCCTATTTATCCTGGGAAATTCAACCATTATCTCTTAATTTAGCACTCAATTCCTTCATCTGCAAAACCACTATATGTAGCATGAATACTTCTGGCCCAGCTAGGTCCCGATGCCGCTTCAGCCCCAAATATCACAAGATGCTATATTAATTATGAAACTCTTGGCCATTGGTTATGGATTCTTATTGGCTAGCTCTGTCTAATTGGTTAATCCATTTATAATAATGTAAGTATTTCCACATGGTCTTCTCTTACCGGAGAAAGGGTCCGGACCTGTTACTCCCCTTGCGTCCTACATGGTGATTGACTGTGCCTACGTTTCCCAGATTCCTCCACCTCTCCCATTCCCACCTATCTCGCTTCCCTATTGGCCAACAGTGCTTTATTCATCAACCAATAAGACAAACATATACACAGAAGAACATTCCCCATCAACCATAGCATGAT